TTAAATTCGATTGTACAGGCTAAATTAAGTAAACAACAATATTTAGTTCTAAGAGAAAATGCCAAGACAAAAAATTCAAATGATTTGTATCCTTCTTATTCGCAAATTAAACTTGCAAAAAATAATTGTTATCCTCTTGAAACCTCTATTTTTGTAACTGAATCGGGTGCAAAAATTATTCTTCAATCTCTTCTTGATTTTACTGTAAATCGACTTCTTTCTACTCTTGTATCTGTAATTAAAACTCTTCTTTCTTTTCAACTTCAGAACTTGGTGCTTATATCTAAGTGGGGTTCTGATGGTAGTAGCGGCTATTCAATGTAAAAGCAAACTACAATTAATAGTAATCTAAATGATAGTAGTTTGTACGTAACTTCTGTTGTACCACTACAGTTATTCGGGCAAAATGAAAATAACCAAAAAGTAATTATTTGGCAAAACCTCACCACGATACTGTCGACCATTAAATTTGTAATTTGTAAAAGAGACTGCTGCTCATATTCTGGAAGAATCTGAACGTGTTAGAGCGGAAGTTATAAATCTCGTCCCGACCACATCTCAAACAGTATATCCAGGATGTATTATATCAGTTATACATGAAATGCACATGACCATGGTCGATGGAAAGTTGTGCAACACAATATCTGGTTGCAAGCCAAGTCAGACTAGTTATATAAGTGGCGCAAAGCCATCTCAAATGAATAACATGCCGCTAGTGTTAAATATGGTTCCAAATGAAGAGACATACAAGTTTGGCTTGTCTAATTTGCACGGCTACATACGCTCGTTTGAATATCTGCTACATGTATCATATAAGCTTGAATTAGGAAAATAGCAAGCGAGAAAAATTGACGACAAAGAACGTTTGAAGGCTAGAAAAAGTAAAATCCAAAAAGATTTTAAAGATCAACTCAGTTTAATTGTTGATATGCCAAAACAAGGGTTTGGTTCTTCAAACGACGGAAACGCTGCTCGTCGATTTTTTGATAATTCGAAAATTAGTGCAGCTATCACAGAACTTGACCAGGATCTTATTGAGCGTTTTGCTGTTATCCTTCGTTCTATTGCTAGTGGTTATGAGATAGATGTTTAAGAAATTTGAAAATTGTTGTACGGAAACAGCACACAAATGTATTAATCTATACCCTTGGTACATAATGCCACCCACTGTTCACAAGATCCTTATTTGCATTAAAATCTCTTCTTTTGTTGGAGCTGGGCAATTTGTTAGGTTTCTCGGGGAATCATCAAATGGGAATGGATCCTCAGGTTCTGGGCCCACTTATTTGCTATTTCATCATCAGTTGTAATTAATGTACCGTCTTCATTTCTTAGAAATTTCTCGGCTCGCTTGTAATTTTTACTCAGAGCGTTTATCTTCTTGTATAAGTTACGAGTTTTGTGATTTGCATAATCATGATCTGCTTCTTTTATTAAATTGTGTACGTGCTTTCTTTTCTCGCATCTAGGTATATTACTTGCTTCCCTTTGCCTAGTCTTGTACTGTGTCCGAAGGGAGTTTTCCGACGGTAGAAACGGAATGAAAGCCCGATCCATCACCGGAAGTCCGGAGAACTCCGAAGGCTTCGGTGGGGAATCACCGGTAACCGGAGTTAATTTCCGATCATCCGGTGAGGAAATCGTTCTTTCCGGGGGGGGGAGGAAACCCCTCCGGTAAAGTCGGGGTATTAACCGGTAAAAAGGGAGTTCTCCCGAAACAACCCGCGAAAAGTCGATCCTTTAAAGAGGGAGACTGGGTGTATTACCGGTCACACCCTTTGTCAAGTGCCGAAAAGAAATACCATGCAGGTTTTGCCCCTAAATGGTTGGGGCCGGTACAGTTGGCAAAGAGGTTAGGCAGGGGAGTGTTTAAAACCCAAGGGAAGGTCCAGCTAAAGTTACATGTTTCGGCCCTAAAAGCATCTAGCTCTGGAGTAAACCCTTAAACGAAATGTTAATGTTCCCTGTGTTTCTGTTGATAGCATGGCTGAACAGAATCGTTTGTTCCGCCCGTCGCGACAGGTGGCCGCACACACGGCGACCCAGTTGAGGGAGCAGGCCCGAAAACTGTGGAAAGCTGCCACGGCGCTGGAGGGTCGACGGACCAGGGAGACCCTGGAGGACTGGACCCCGGAACGCATCCGGAGAGCGGAGCTCTGGGAGCTGAGGGCCAACGAGGTGGTGTGGGCGGCCTATGACCGCGGATTCGAGGACGGGGGTCGTCGACCACGGCCAGCCGAGGGGCACGCCGCCGCCAGGTCACGTCGACCGCGGCCAGCAGCCGCGTCCCACAACCACCGGCTACGCCAGCCAGCGCAACACCGGCTGGAACAGCAGCGGCCCAATCATCGGCACAGCGTGCGCGATGGGATGGGGCGTTTTCGTCAGCTACCGCAGTCGTCTCCGCCACAGCAACCGAAGTCACCACCGCAACAACAGGCGCCACCACCACACCCTTCGTCAGCGGTGGATGTCGCAGCGACACCGGTGGTTGACCTTGGTCAACGTGTTGACCCGGCAGGTGGATGGAGGGAGTTCAACTTCCTCCAACCGGACACGGTCCAATTGATGGAGGTTGCGCCGGACGTCGACGCATTCTTGTCATCGGGTCCGACATTCCTTTCGGATTGAAGCCCGACCTGTCGGACTGGGGGGGGGGAGTATGACGCGGTCGCATCGCGACTCCGGTGGTGGTCGAGTGCTAATCACACTCGCCACCGCCGGATGGCGCCCGTGCCCGCTTTTCCCTCCAGTCGTCCGACAGGCCGCGCTCGCCGGATGGACGGGTTGGCCGCAGCCGCCGCCGCCATCGACCATACACTTCGATTTCGACCGAATAACGTCTTGACGACACGTTTTGTATTATTTTGTTTATTTTATTGTATTAAAATAAATTGCTACTTAATACCTAAACACCTGGCTACCCTTCAATATACCCTATTCCTGACCTCAACAACATCAATGTTTAACAAAAAAAGTCAAAATCTCGAAACATACTGCCGTCGATTGGGTATCATTCCACAGGGAATGTATTTAAATATTTAAAAATAGGCGATATCGATCAGATCGTCGAAATTGACGAGAGTAAATTTGGCTGTAGGAAGTACCATCGTGGCCACCGTGTGGAGGGCCAGTGGGTCTCTTTGGTGGCGTTCAAAGGTTAACGGGTTCATGCTTTTTAATTCCAGTCGACAAAAGGGATAAAGAGACCCTATTGAAAGTTATTCGAGATTGGATTTTACCGGGAACAACTATAATTAGCGATTGTTGGAAGGTGATAAGTGATACTAATAAATACAGTCAAATAAAGATAGAGGACTAAGAAAACTATTTCGCGCACTGTGTTCACCGTTAACTAAGGGATCCTGGCATACAAAAATAGGAATGCAAAACTCACCTCACCGTATCCAAATAAGTGTTGAAATCGAGAGCGCTTGCTCGACAACCGCCACGCGCGGAAGGCAGCAAGCGAAAGTAATTGTAATTTAATAAAACAGTATTAAAAATAATACTGTGATTATACTTATTTTACTTAATGTCACGTCGCCAAAAACGTCTAAATGATGCCGCCTACCGCTACAGTCGCCCGCCACAGCCACCATAGTTTTTTACGAATAACTCAAAAGGTAACGAAGCTAGACAAACGAAGCTAGGGCAATTCTGATTTTATCAAAAACTTTTGAATATAATAACAAGTGTTATTAAAAAAAAAAATTAAAAAATTTTAATTTTCGAAAGAGTTACTGATTTTTAAAAAAATTACGAAAATGAAGTTTTTGCTGATTTCTTAAAAATTAAGACGTATAATATTCAATTTTGGGTTGCACCATTCTTTTAGTCGTATAAAAATACGTATTTTGAAAAAAAAACATAAACAGGTTTAAATTAAGGTAAATCTTGGTATTAATATCTACAAGGTATACGGCAAAAAAAATAAAGGACCACGACGGGCGAGAGACGTCATCGCGTCGGCCGTTACCGTTATAATATAGTGATGCGCACACGCAAAAATCGCCTTTACAGTTTTTTACGAATAACTTAATTGTTAATTAAGCTAGAGCAATTTTACTAAAAACTTCAAAATTAAAAAACGAATATAATGGAAAAAAAAAATATTTAAAAATGTTGATTTTTAAAAAAGTTAAAAGGTTTAAAAAAAAAATACGAAAATGAAGTTTTTGCTTATAACTTCAAAAGTAAGTCCGACCCCCAAAATCTGGCTTCACCATAATTTTTATTGTAAAAAAGTACATTTATTCCAAAAAAAAAATTTGAAAAAAGCGTGTGGGAACTAAACTGCACTTGTTCCCAAATTCTTTATTATCAATACAAATGCAATACATTTTAAGTCTATTGATAAGGATTTTTAATATTCGAATATTTTTTTTTGTGACGTTGGTGCTCGTGCACGATGTCGGTGATAAAATCGCTTATCATTTTTCGGCCAACTGCCCAGTGCCCTGCGCCCTTTAATGACATAGTAGTCCAGCCATCAGTTGTATAAACTATACTTTTGACAGTTGTCAATTTTTTTATATTTTCTTCAAATACTCATTTTTTATTACATGTAATATTTTCTTTAGTCTTTTCTTTACAAATTGTACAACTAGACTCAACAACAGTCATGAATTTACTAAACCCAGAACTTGAACAAAACGATATTGGTAATTGATTCACAGCAATTAATTTATAAAGAGTTTGGTGAATTAACTCTTTTCGTTCATCGCTGCACTCACGAGCAGTCTCATTTTCTTTGACAAGACGACGACGACGTTTTCTAGATGGTTGCCTACTATTTTCACAGTTTGCAGTTTAAAGTTGATGATAGAATGAGCAACATTTTTTTTACTCTTTTTTACTACCACACAGTGTATCCATGGCGATCTATTTTGATACTTTATTTTCCGTATTTGTAATTTTCTCGACATGTCGAATCTTTTTTCCATTAATCATAACGCATTCTGAAGAATTTTCATTTAACCATAGTCTAAACTGCTGTCATGACGATGGACGCGAAAATGATGGAAATCGCGAAAGAAATCGGTTGCACCGACGGATTTCACATCCCAGTGGCAAATGAAGAAAACCGATTACTTGAAAAAGAGGTAGGAGTTAGGTGGAGTCAATTTTTTTTCTTGTAAATCGATTGAATTTATAGTATATATTATGTACGAATATAACCTAAAAAAATCTTGAGAAAAACTCATAACTTCAATGGAGACATGGCTTGAATGATTATTAAAAATCAGGCAGACCGGATAATTTATTGTAGGTTTTACAAAATTAACAAAATGCTCTAGCCATTTAAAAAAAGCTCGTTAGTGATCTAAGCACTAGCAGGTCCTCCTCTTTGCAACAGTGGATTTAACTTTGCTTTAAGATAAATAATCATCGGCGAAACAAATAATCCACCAGCGTTTTATTTATATAGTCCCAAAATTTTAGATGGCTTTTGCACTGCGGTGAAACCAGATTCGTCAACGTTGTAAATACGTAAAGGTATAAACTAATATGGAGCTATATTAGTCCATGGTTGCTTCCAAATTTTTATAAAATAATTTTACATTAGTCTTATTAAGCGAAGTTAATATGTTTAAACTATTGTCCTCTGAAGTCAGTCCTTAAGCTTATTTCCGGATTTCTGTTTAAAAATGAATCCAATCAGTCATATCTCGCCAACTTGGTTTCTTAACAAAATTTTTGTTCGATGTTGTTTGCAGTAGAATGAATAATCCCATGCAAAAACCAACGCCATTCCAATAATTTACAAAATAAAGACAAAAAAGTTCGTTATGTTACCTAAATTGTTTGTGTAAAAATTACTTTAGCCCCTAATCTATAACTATTAAATAAGAATAGATGGAATCTCCAAATAAATTGGATAACATGTATGAACGTGGGTTTCAGATTGAAGAGTTGTTGCAAAAGAAAGCCAAGCTTATTGTAGCCAATGAAGTACTAAACGATGATATAAATATATTAAATGAAAAACTGACCGACAGCACAACCCGTCAAAACCAAATTCAGGTAAAAAACCGTTTTTGCTGTTACAGCGCTCGAAATTACGGTCATCAAATTTGAGTATTACTAATTAAAAAACAATGTATACCCATATTCCACGCAGAGTCTGATCTTGGCAAACCGTCAGCAGTATGAGACAGAACAGCATATGTTGAAGGAAGCTGAAAGAGAAGACGATAATTTGTCCCGCAACAATCGAAACGCATCGAAAACGCTCAAAAACCTGATGAACGAAAGGAAAAAAACCGAAGTAGGTCAAAATAGTGTTAAAATATGTTTAAAGTTTATCAGAGCTTAATTTAGACATTTAGAGGCCTAAAGAGTTATACTGTCTCACTTTGTTAGACACGAAAAAACTTTGATTGGAAAGAATTTGTAACCCGCAAGAGTGGTCACGGGTTTTTACTAATGTTTTTTGATTATTCGTGTTAATGATATATATCATAATATATTATATCACTATTATTGGTGAAATTTTTAGGTTGGCTAGTCTGATAACCAGAACCTCCATCTTATTCCAACCTAAATAAAAACAAAATGTTTGCATGAGTAGTAGTAATATAGTAATATGTAGCCATCAATTACATTTGTATTATGAGCATTTTTTTAGAGAACAAAGGAACTGTCAACAATTAGAATTCCCATATTATACCGAAATTATTACCATAGAGCAGTAATCTACCACCAAAAAAAAAATGAATTACAAATTACCTCATCAACCTGTTGACGTATTTACCTTTACCACCATACACTATGCAACCTACGTACATACTTCCACCACGTATCACGTGACCATGTCATATCCAACAATACATAACTCGTAGGTTATGGCTCCTATATTTGGAGGGCGGGTGTGAATTTACGGGCGGCACATTTCTCTCATGTGTTCTTGTTGTTGCTGCTGTTTGGTGATGGTCGGGCGGCGTTGCGGTTAATACAGTTTTACCAATTATCGGGGAGAAAATAAGCAAAATTCCTAGGTAGTTACGGATAATTCCTAAAAACAGTAAAAAGTAAGCGCCTGAGAAAGTCGATACCCAGTACCCTATGTTATATAATGACCAAGTCATCAATATAGGTAAATTTATATAAATAAATATGGAGTGCTTCCGACAACTCGAGACTGATGACTATACAATTAAATCAACAATAACGACGGTTAGCTGCAAAAAGTAAAACAATATAAAATATTGACTGATTGACCGTTAGAGGCAGCAGTTAAAACTAAATTTCTCAAAAGTTAAGACTAGGTTTTTTTTGTAGTAAGGTACATATACTATAGTGTTTTACATATCGCAACGTCGACTATTACAGTTGATACATCATCAATTTAGTGTAAGTAGTGCTTCAAGAAGGACTTGTTTCGTTTAACTGATTAACAGATCAAGAGATTAATTCTCAAATTTCCAGAACGGGATACGATTATACAAGTTTCGAAAATGGCTAAAAGACAATCCCTTATGAAAAGCCTAGCAGAGCAGTTTGAATATTCGAGAAATAATGCTTAACAATATCCAAGATGCATTTGTAATTTCAAAGGCGATAATAAAATCTACGGTTTATACACACTTGTCAAAAGTATATACAATAAACTTGAAGAATAAATAAACAAAATTATGAGTAGGGAAATTCAACAGTTGTATTTAGTTAAAAAATAGTCGAAGGTGTAAAAAATGTGCATATTAGTCTGAAAACGGTAGGATAAGATTTCAAGTTACAGAAGTAGCAGCAGCATGATACTTATGTGTACGCAGTACGATATCGATTTTCAGACAAATGTTTACATTTCTTTCGATTCTAATGATTTGTTATGTGCAAAAACTGTGCTTCTTAAAGGAATTTATCAGATATCTGTAAATATCCCATTTCTACAAACCCCTGTACTCCATTTATTCGGATGTTTTCACTTTTGAAAACTTTAGACGGTACCGTTATACTACAAGACACAGGTCTAGGTTGATTGTACCACGCTACACGTGGGTACAAACGCGCATCAAAGTACGCCATCTATTTACAAACGCTATAAGCAAAAAGTTATCAATACCACGGAGGTACGGACTATAATTCCATAGAATATGATAAATTTAATAATATTATTGTCTGGGATTAGTACCGACCATCAATACACAATTAAACAAAGAATACTAAATTTCTAAAATGCATAGGGAATGGAGTAAAAGTGTTTTAAAAATAATATAAAATGCAGAAGCACATTATTGAAAGCACCAAAAGAACATAATGTTTCTATAGCTTGGAATTGAACCATCTCATAATTTATTTATTTATTGTTCACATTTTTTTTTTATTCAAGCCAACTTTTCCAGAATAATTTTTAAAAAAGAATTGGTGAAAAAATGTGTTCTTTTATACAGCATTTAGAAAGTTATTTTCATTTAAATGTGATGACAATTTAAACATTTTGTAGCGGCCATTTAGTCGTTTTGTTAAATAACAAGTATTTATGTTCATATTTTTCTATGATACTCTACTTTTTCTTATATTTTTATACCTACCGTCATTGATTTTATCACAGGCGTATTTTTCAGGGAGTTTCAAGACTTAGTAATCAGACAGTGTGCGCACTTATCTTTCTGTCACCCTTATTAATAATATGCGTAAAACTCATCCAGTTCATCTTGACACCTGGCGACCGTTACGGTTTAAAAGTTGTAGGATCAGCAAAGTAGTATTAGTTGAAGAGGTGCTACCAACATATTATTCTTTTAGAGGTTATATTAACAATTGATAGTAATACAGTTTCTGTACAAAAATTAAAACAAATGCTATTGCTATTTGATTAACTCGTAACAATGACAATATTAGTCAGAATCACTAAACAGTGGGCCGTGGTTTCATATTTATTTTATACTGGTAACATTGACGTCCGACCATAAGTTTAGAGCCCCTGATCTGTTCAGACGCGTGACGTCACGAAGTGTCAAGATAAACTAGACGAGTTATACAAATTACAATCGACTATCAAAACTTATCAATGATGATTTTTTGTTTTTGTGTAATAACTTTTTTTACTTAAATAAATACTTAATTATTCAGTATAATCATAGTAAATCAATCTTTTTACTTATTCAAATGATGTTACTTTATCGAACAGAAAGTAATAAACTTTTGTGTAGTGACTTAAGTTTATAGGTAATGGATAACTGATGAGCGTATTTCCCGTAAAATATTATGTGAAAGAGACATTGGCTACCAAATATTTAGTAAATAAGTTTTATTATTCGACCATCAAAGTCATTTTTGTTTATTTCCGTTGATAAAACGTCATTAAAACCATCAGCTATGATGAAGTCTAAATGGTTCCTGTCGATAATGAATATCTAATAAAATAATTCTATATTATCGTAGAGCCGCATCACGCCGCGTTTTAGGTTATCCCTTTTTTAAATCAAAATGTTGAAATATGGTTTAAACCCAAGGAAACATTATAATTATATGGTTTGAATGAGCTTCACACAAATCTCTGATGAAGGATGATTTTTTAGTCATGTAATTTGTAAATAACTGCTGTTGATTTCTATTGGTTTGATACTCGTATAGAATGAGGCTTTTGATATGCTAGCCACTTTTTACATGTAGGATACGTTTAACTTTTTATCTGAGTTAAATTTCACAAATTTAATACAAAATATTAGAACCAAATTCATTAACATAAATGCGAAGTTAAATAGTTATAAAAAAAAGAAAGTAGGTATACATACAACACCATCAAAAAGAAATTTCACCCATAGGTACCTCCTCTTAGGACAGAAATTCTCAATCATCGCCCCCTAACTCTTAAAAACTCAAGAAACAGTTTTTTTTACAAATTTCAAAGCAAATTTACAAAGCATCTGCAACTGACTGAATAGTTGTGAAGCACGTTTAACTTTCATTGTTTGCTTAAAAAAATATATATTTGTAGTTTCCTTAATTTATTAGCTAAATGACAATTTTCTTTTTCTTGCGAACAAAATAATTTTACTACAAACTCAAAATAAATTATAATGTCATCTACATCTAAAAATTGTTTTTTTCACCAAATGATTTCTCACTAACTTTACCATATGCGCGGGTTAAAAAAAACAAATACCATATTTCGTACAGAATTTAATGTAAATTATGTATAGGTAGGTGTTAACATTACAATCACAACCTAAAAGATTAGCAGATATTATATTGTAATTTAAATTAGTAAATTTAAATGAGTTGCTAGCGGCTCCTTTATTCTCCAAAAATATGTTGATAGTTCATATTTTAATTAGGGTTTTAATTGGCTGGCGGCAGCTTTTCTTTTTTTCCCAAAATTACTATATGGTTTACTTACTTGTACGATTGCTTGTACTGAATGCAAAACGCCAATCAAAGTTGAGTTCATAAATAAATAACAACAAAAACAGTAGTAGATTGATAGATTATAAATCAAGAAACCTTATATATTCTAATGAATTTCTGATAGAGTTAATCATGAGAAATCTATTGCAATATTAGCGTTGACCATATTTACCCTGTTCATATTTGTTCCACACAATAATAGATATGACTGATCATAATGATCTAAAGCAACTTCTTTTATGTCTAAAAGGACGAACTATTGAAAAACTCAGAACATATAGATAAACTGAGAAGCACAATCGAGTGGGGTGAAGAAACTCTGTTGGCGTGGAACGAGGACTTGGCCAAACGGACGACGGACGTGAACATTTTGGACGCGTATAATTTAGAAGACAACAACCGATTTAAAGTATGAGCGGTCGGAATAGTTTGTTTGCATGGCTCACACTAGATTGTTTTTTACAATTTGTAGGACTTAGATTTTCGTAGACAACACCTGCAGAGGTCGGTAATGGAAAGGGAAACTATTGTAGAAAAAGAACTTAGCGACCTGCTTCAGGTAGAAAGAGAGTTGGAACAGACGTCTAAACTCACTAAGCAAGCACAGAAAGAAAGAGACCGTTTGCTTGAACAGTGGGAAAATTCTTCCAACTTTTTTAAGTCCCACAATGAAGAGTTACAGAGATCGGTGCAGGTTAGTCAAACGAACTCAGCTACTTAGTCGACCACCAAACGAATGGGGCTAATATTAATAATACGCATTACTGAAAAAGGAAATCAACAAGATCAGGGAAAGTGTTAGGAAAGTGTACGATGTAATGACAGAGGACAAACAAGCGTACCGCAAATATTTAGAAGAAAACGAAGAGCTCCAGTACGAGCTATCCGAAGCTCATAACGCCAACGACGAAATGAAGCTATTATTGGTCCAAAAGTACGAAGAACTCGATAATTGGACGTCTGAGGTTAAGCCAGATTTTGTATACGCCATCTGCGTTTGTCTGTTAATCGTTAATGGTCGCTTAACGGTTTTTTAGTTGATGATTGTACAAGGGAACGTCAGCAATCAAAGTCACAAATTGGATAATGAGCGAGCACAGCTCAAGCACATGGAAAGCAGTATTGTCAAAATGGGCGAGCAGATTCAACATAAACAACATGAAATATCGGTTTTGGAGGAGAGCTTGACGAAGTCCCGAAGCCAATCGATGACCACAGAGGAACGGTTAAAGGAATTAGAAAAGATCTACGATGTAAAGATTTAGTTGTAACCATGTGTAATTATCGACCAGAGTTAAAGCCGGATCGCTTGATTTTGGTTTACATTAGGCTCAAAAAACGAAGGCTGACCGATTGATATTAGACAAAGACAAACTGCAGACCGCATCATTTCACGCTTTCAGCGAGATGAAACAATTAGAAAGTAGTATAGACCTGATGAATCGCCAGTTAAGCCGAACTCAAAGTACACAATCCGAGTCTGGCCGGGACGAATGGAAAATTAAACAGCTGATAATGGATAGAAAAGAAGTTGTGTACAATTTGGTAAGTACATATGAAGCGCAGATGAACCATATTCAAGGCTGTTTGTTTATTTAAGAAATTAGACATTAGTTAGAGAAATTTTTAATTTCTTAGAGTTTTCAATTGGAATTAATTAGTAACAAAGTGGCCGAAGTCGAAGGTAGAGTAGACGTGGAAGTAATGCACGAACTCCAAGATCAACTATACCGCCTTACCGAAGAACTGAATCAAACCACTGACTATCGAAATCAGTTGGATAAACAGCTTAAGACGACTGACGTAAGACATGTTTTTACTGTTCTATGAAACGTTTGAAATATAATAAACCGCATTGGAATGGTTTTTCAGAGTGAAACCCGACGTCTCGTAAGGGAGTTAGAGAAATACGCCATTGAATTATCCACGCTACAAGAAAGCAGACAGCACCTCACTATCCGCAACGAAGGAGGTCAGTGTGGTGTACTACATAATTATAAATTATTAATTCCTCTTATCCAACATTTTTAGCCAGGTTGATTTTTTTTAATTTGTAACCATACTAATTTATTATTCGAAAAGATTTGTCGCAGATTTACTTTTCATGATGGTGAATTCTTCCTTTATACAATTTTTTAAAGTCGGGTAGTTTTTTAAAGTTATTTCCTAACAGTTGGGTCAACTTGTTAATTGTTTTTAGTCGCACTTACTACAAATTAAAAAAAAATTAATTCAGTCTCGATTAAATGTACGAAAAAATATAGTACAATAGTTAATGTTTTACTAGTGAATTTATTTAAATAAGTACACTTAATTTATGCGATTAATGTTCGACTCTAGCTAAAGTAGTAAAAAATACATACATATTTAAATATATATATTTATATCAATCAAATGGCATAAATTATTCAAGACAAGAAAAAATAGTACATAAATTCATAATAATAATAAGACAATTGAACATTGATATTTTTAAATTACACAATAGTAAATACGATTGTATTAAACAGCCATTTTACTGATAATATCGCAAACTTAAAAATAATATTAAAAATAATTTAAATTTACACATATAAGGGATAGTTAATAATCCTTTTTTTTTTGTTTACAGGCATCAAACAGATTAAAACGTTAAAAGAACAAAACCATCGTCACCACATGGAAGAGCTAATGCTCAAGTTCAAAATTGCTCAAATAAAAAAGTCAATGGATCACGAATGCGAAAAAATGCACTCGTTGGCCAGACAACGAGAAGAGTTGACAGCGGTAAGTCCTGTTACATCTACTCAGTGAGTAAATGTTGAAAAGTTTGAAACTTTTTATTCAATATTTTATGTTCTATGTGTATTACACACAATTTTTGTTGAAAACTGCAAACTAGTCTCTTTATACAATTTTTGATGTGTAATGCTGTCTTAATTTTTTGTTGTAATTTAAAAGTTTCTTGGTTTGACACAAATGTTAACTTAAAAGGGTTGTTGGAATTATCCGACACTCTTTTATAATAAAATAATTATTATAAAAAAAAAAAAGAGTGTGTGTGATGTTCTGGAATTTTTTTTTTAAATGTTTACTGTAGTACTAAGTGAAGATGGATTTGAAGACAAATCATGGCAAATCAAGTCACTTTCTAAGTATTTAAATAAAAATAAGTATATAAATGCTAGACTGTGATATAACCAAAGTTGGGCATCAACTAGATAGAAAGTTCAGTAAGTTAGTGGTATTATCAGGTTATGCAGTTAAGATTCAAATTTATATTCTAAGTAACAAAAATAGGCTAATTATAGTGATTTATTGTTTACAAATCATATTTTATTATTCGAAAGTTAAATTTTTTTAGCTAAAATAAACTATTTCATTTTAAAGTAATTTTCATGTACAAAACTGAAAATATCTTGGTCATCTGTTGGCATGACTACGCCCTAAGAGTTTTTGCCGCCATTACTACACTCCACCACCTGTCTCTATCTTGTACTGACTCTCAAGTCGTTAACTCCTAGGTTTTTTAGATCTTCTACTACGTCGTATATATATATAATTCTATATTAAATATATATTATTTTATTTATTTTATTATTTTATGTCTCTTAATCACCTAATTCTCTTATCATTTATCTTTTACAAGATGTCCAAATCACTATCCCAACTCACCTCGTGCAGATTTGTCATTGTTCCACATACTCATCTCTGTTTTGTGTTACGCTAATATTTTGATGACATATTTCATATTGATGTGTACTCATAATCTAATCTTAAGGTATACACTGCTGGCTGTAAATTCTAGGATGTCAACAATAGGAAAGCCGAGGTGTCGGCCATTTTCGATCGACTAAACGGCGAGAAAAAGATTTTGCTGGAGGAAAAGTCAGCGACTAAGAGTCGCCTGGACGCGGTCACCCTACAGATAGATCAGAGGCAAAAAAAGTATCATATCTTATTGGCGACAATGGGCACAGACGGCGCTACGTTTACTGTCGGCGAGTACAGGATCAGAATGTCTCAAGAAAAATTGGAGCTTCAAGAGTTAGGCGATCAACTAGACGGTCGCGTTCAAAAGCTCGAGGAAGAAATAAGGGCTATGGAAAATACACTGCAAGTGCTAAAAGCCACTAATAATTGTTACAAGGCCAGTCTGTCGTCTGTGAGTCCTGACAGTAGGTATTCTTATTAAGTATTTACCAATTTATTTTTTATTAAGAAAATTTGTATTTGTTAATATGTACTTTTCTAATATCTAATATTTTATGTCTTATCTCTGATCTCCCCTTTCTCACCTCCGTCGACCACGAGTGTGACATCCAGAGTGACGTTTCGGACAAATTTTTCAGAATGACCCTTAGCTATAAAACATCCATGTCAAAAAAGTGCTAATTAGTTTTGGAACACTAGCTTTTATAATTGTCAATTTGCCTTGTTTGTGTGGTAATATTTTATCGAGTTTCAAGAAGGTAGGATCAAGTATATTAATGGTGGTTAAAAACTATTAATTTGTATAACAATTCACAAAATATACATAGCAATTATGCAGAATAGCCTTTTTTAACAGATAAAATATTCCCTTAATGTTCCCTTGGCTACATCAATTATGTGTAAATTAAATATGAATTTGAACTTCATTTCTTTAAATAAAAAAAATACAATCATTACTCAATATCAATCATAGCCGTTTATTAAATTTAGATTTTGGGTTGATTATTGGAACATTACACGACAAACAATTTTATAAAAAAAGTTTATAACGAATTTTTTTGGTCAGAAAATCGCGTCTAAATCACAATATGTAAAAATAACTTTTCAAACAATACGAGAATCATTTGTAATTTTAAATAGTGCTTAAGTGTAAAAAAATAACAAATATTAGGTGTTCATTCATCAATCAGATAAATATCGATACATCCGTATAAGTTATATTTTGTCATTTACATACCTACATAAGTTTTTGTTTCCATCAAACATTTTATAGGTGTGGAGTACAAAGAGAAAATTCGTTTGATGGAGATATACGATAACGCCAACAATATAAACAGGCAAAAGAAAAAAAACCTACGGGAAATTAAAAGTCAAATACACGTATGTACACATTTCATGTTCTGCTGATAATCGTACAAATTAGAACTAAAAGAATTTGAATATACACAGTATTGTTTGTTTAGGATTTGGAAATAAAATGTCAGTTAGCCAATGATCAGCTGATGGTCGTGGTGGCGACTCGAGGTCAAAAGGTAACAGAAGTGGAAAGACTACTAAAGGAAGTCGAAGGGCAAAAAGTAAAACTAGACCGCGTTGACGGACTGATCCGGTGCGGGTTGAAAAATTTAGAAAAAAAATGTGTCGATCCCGACAAGCGCAAAACTTTGGAACTCTTTAAAGTAAATACTGATTTATGCAAATTCCCCTGTTGTTGTTAAAAAAAAACTTTTGACGCAGAAAAAGTGATCCTTTTATACATAAATTCAAATCTAAATTAACGTTATCCATTTGTTAAAATGTGGTTATGTGCTTCCACAATTCGTATAGTAATTTTATTATTTTAGTCGGTTATTTTATATAATATTCCGGATACGCAAAACTAATTGGATTTCAAGTATGATAAAATAATATATACAAAATTCTAGTTGGTATATAATCGAAAAACTAAAGTATGACTTCTTACATCAAGTATAATAATGTAAAATATAGCCAAACATTATATTTACCGTTGATTTCGACCAGCGTTGTGCGAAAAACTCATAAATGTAATCTATGTAGATAATTTTATACATTTATTTATAAGTTCTGAAAGTGGAATTTTTATTTCTCTATTGAAATTATATTGGTGGTTTCATTGTATGTTCAATTATATATTCAACCGTTGCTTTCTCAATTGAAATTGAAAAGACATACACTGATTTATTATCAAAACAATATGTGTTACCGCGAAAATAATAAGATCTTTATATGGAACGTTATGTCTTAAAGGGGAACCGAAACCAAAAGGATTTTAAAAAATTGGTTGGAATTCTTAAATCTCGAAACGCAAAATATTTAATGGATTTCTTTTATTTCAATTTTAAGATATTGATTTGTTTGTAAAAACACTATAATGTAGGTATTTAATCAAAGAGGAAATATAAAACACTATTTTTTAGGCTATTTTACTAAAAACGATCTATTAACATTTTAAGGTAGTTATTACTCTGGGTTTGTGACTGTTTAGTGATGGGAAGATTGGTACTTGATGGACATATTCTTTTAAGTTTTGGTGTTCTTTTACAGAAAGACGTTCAACTAAGGCAGTTGAAGAAAGTAAATAAATCGGCTTTGGAACTATTAGCCGAAATGTCGGTGCGAAATGGACTTGAACTGACGGTCAAACATTACTTGGCCGATAAAGACTTAACACTGCCCACTGTATCCAGTCATCTATCGTTCCCCTCTTCTCTGAAAGTCAAATCCAGTTGCGGCTCTAGCATAATGTCGTTTGCCAGCAGCACGTCGAGCATGTACGAAAAATAATTTAAAATATTTAATTATTAATTAGATCAACAACAATAGTCTATAAAAATGAAGGTCAGAGTTTCTAATCTAACCTATCTGGAGACTGATCTTGCAGGGGGATAGCAATGAAGGTTGTGTTTAAATATGATAGTTAGGTAATCAAGTTTCGACTAGTCATATAAAATATTGCCGCATCCATTTAAAAGAATATTGCATTTAAAAATAAAATCGTTTTTTTACACTTTTTGGACTAACTTAAAATGCCATTAGGTGTATTCCATCGAGTTTTCGTAGACTTTAATCAGAAAAATTTGCCAGTGGGATTACAGTATTACGCTGTGGCCTGAGAAACACCACGTAGTAGTTTCTTCTCCTATACCCTATTTGTATCTTCCACAGTTTTCTTTTAAAGATAATTATGATCGATCATAAAACTACTATTACATGATTCTCCAGGCGAACTATTTTAAACTTCTATCGTCGATTTAAATTTCCAATCTCCCAAAATATCTACTTCGAATTTGATGTCCTGTCCGTCGCACATTTGGTGAACACACGAAAAACTCGATTGCGAACTTTAATCTTTAAGAAATACTTTTGCCTACTGTGTGGTCGCACGTTTTTTCGAACTTTTGTTCAAAGCCGGATCTTACATTTTGATTCCGGTTAGATTAATCAGTAATATATTAAGAATATGATTTCAATATAATATTATTAAATCAGAGTTTATTAAAATATGATAAAATAACAATACTCATACTTCAAAGAAATAACTATTTGTAGATTGCTATTTGTAGAATGGGTTACTGCGTAAACTAAACGGATCTTTATGCGGTGCTGGACTACATTCATTGACCCTTCTAGCCTCAGCTCTAAGGCTAAGATAGACACAGGCCTAAATGAGACATGACAACTAATCACCGGTTGTTTAAAAAATACCTTAGTAAACAACCTGTACACCCTATCTGGTACAACCTCACTTAAAATTCGACGATTCGAGCAGGCTCGCTGGGAACAAATAAAAGTGATAAATGATGCCCAATACATAATGCATGCAAACATCGGCTTTAATGTAGAAATAGTTTTATGAAAAGGACAAAGTGTATCACAAGAATCCTCAAAGATGTGGATTCGATAGAAGAAGAGAAACAATTAAAAAAGAAACAGCATGACACTTGACCACGTGTTTTGAAGAAGAAGGAGGGAAATTGCAGTTTTTAATTGTGGCCTATGATATAGTTATTACACAATCTAGAAAAAACTTAAGCAACACTTGTGGTTATATCATACAATTTCAATTGAATTTAATCTAATTGGATACTTATGACTATTAAGAACTTTATTATATTCTAGTGCGCTTTTATATGTTTTTGCTTTTGTGTTTGCAGCCAATCGGACGACGATCAGAAGAAGAAATGCTCGGTAGTTAACTTAAGTGGTGCAGGCGACGAAGATTTATTAAGCGCTCGATCCCTGAATTCCGTTAAAGGTTATAATTGGTTCTGTATTCGGTTGCGTTAAAATGTTTTAAAAATTGTTTTAATATTTATAATAGCGTTTTTGCCCCCAGACGTTTCGTTTGCCAAGCAGAAAACACACAGTTATACTACAGTAAAGAGTGATAAAGACGTAACCTCACCATGGGAGTGAATCTTCATTTTGCGTGTTCCACATTTTGGTTTCCTTATACTTTGTTTAATTGTTCAGTAAAATTAATAATAAATTATTGTCAGCTGTGGCAGTGCTTAGCTATTCATAGTTTATTCTATTGTAATCTATCTTATCCGTCTTTCTGCTTCTATAACGATGTTTATTTTGTATAAGTTTGTTTTGTTTTAATCTTTTTTTATTTTAACTGATGACAATTGTCAGTTGTACAATATTGTTCCTTGTCTATTTATTTAATTTATTTATTTTCTCGATCTTATTAAAAACATGGAAGAATCAGAAATTAAACAAACACCAACTAAAACTAAACAATTTTAACCAATAACATCTTTCTTTTCTGCTCAGAAAAAAGTACTGTTAAATGCAGAAACGTCTGATTATTCTTGTTATAATGATTTCGTTTGTAAGTTAAAATTATTAAATGGTTTAAATGTTTATTAGTAATTAATAATAAATAATCATATTTACCCATATAATATATTTTAATAAGATATATTTAAATTGCAGGTACGGAAACTCAAAATATTTATCAGTAGTCTATATTATGGCGGTTCTGGAGAACAATAGAATGACGCGACCAATTGTTCTCCAGAAAATTTTGCATGCTCAGCAATTTTCTATGCGATAAATGCCCATTGTCAAGGTCAGTGACGTGAAGCATCCTATTGTTCTCCAGAAAATGTTACATACTCATAAATGTCGACTGAACGTGCGTGGGTTCTGTAGCATCGTTTGTAAACTTACCGTATCCCTATCAATTCAATAGTAATGGTATGCCACTGCAACTGCTGTGTTTATGCCGTGAATCGTTTGATCTGTATCATGTTATGAATGAATCGGAATGCGTAGAGTGTAAACAATTTGTATATATACAAAGGACGGTGCATATTATGTGTATTTACAAATACTATAATCTCTGTATTACACTGCACCTTTCAATTGATTTCAGTGGACGCGACAATGTTTATATACGACCCAAAACCCGTAGCACTAAACCCGTACCCATACACCAAGGACAAGAGGGCAAAGATCAACGACACGGTCAAGGAAATGGAGGAACAAGGCTGTGTAGAACCAAGCATATCGCCGTGGGCTGCCCCTGTAGTACTAGCAACTAAGAAGGACGGTACACATCGGTTTTGCATGGATTACAGGCGCTTAAACCTCCAAACCGAGTCCGACGCATACCCTATGCCAAACTTGCACAAATTGACCCGGACAATGGGAGGAGCCGAAGTGTTTAGCACATTGGACCTAAAGTCCGGTTATTGGCAAGTGAGCTTGAGTCCACTTACCGCATTTCGTACTGATAACGGTCTTTATCAATTTCAGGTTATGCCGTTTGGACTGTGCAACTCTCCAGCCACATTCTGTCGCCTAGTGGATGAAGTATTCCGAGGTTATGTGGGATAGTTTGTACGAGTGTACTTGGATGATATTGTGGTCTTCTCAAAAACCAACAAGGATCATCTCTACCACTTACACAAGGTACTGGAGCGCCTAGCCAAATTTAGACTAACGTGCCAACCAAAAAAGTGCAAATTTGGAACGCGAAATATAAACTTCCTTGGACATATGATCGATGGTCAAGGAATCGACACGGAAATCGGAAAATTGGATATCGTTAGCCGCTTTCCCACACCAAAACGACTGAAGGAGCTTCAGCGTTTTCTGGGAGTTTGCGGATGGTACAGCCAGTTTGTAAACCGATACACGGAACTCACAACACCGCTAACGAACCTGTTAGCCAAAGGAGTCAAGTGGCACTGGACGAATTTGGAACAGGACTCATTCGAGCGGGTAAAGTTAGCATTAGTATCAGCACCAAAACTCAGCCCTCCGGACTATTCAAAACCGTTTTGCTTGCAAACGGATGCAAGTGAGGTGGGCGTTGGTGCCATACTGTATCAACGCGGGACACAGCCACATGAGAAAAGGATCATCAGTCACGTGAGTAAGAAATTGAACTCAGCACAAACCCGTTACTCAGCAGTGGAGAGGGAGTGCTTAGCTATCATTTTTGCGGTTGATAAGTTCCGTCCTTATCTGGAAGCCAGGAAATTCGAACTGCTTACAGATAGTGCGGCATTAAAGTGGTTACAGACGGCACGAGATAATAATAGTAAGCTAACCCGATGGGCACTTACCCTTGAAACTTATACTTTCGATATTAAACATGTGCCCGGAACCCAAAATGAAGCTGCAGACGCACTATCAAGAAATCCGGCAGATGGACCAACGGTGGACAAGGAACAACTTGAAAACAACCTCATTGAACCACCGCTTGGGGACAATCCAGCAACACATAAGGACAAACTGTTCAAGATTTCCGGACACGACTTCACCGATCACCTTACACTACAGGAGATCGCCGAATGGCAACGGAATGACCCGGACATTCAAAATCTGATACAGATTGACCAAGCGAGACACCAGAGAACAACCATTTCGATTCGAAAAGGACTTGGTGTACCGGATAACTCTACGAGATGAGGGCGATGATATCATAGCCATAGTAATACCCGCCAACAAACAGGAACGGATACTATGGAGTTATCACGATCATGAGACTGCCTCGCACCCGGGTTGGAAAGAAACCTGGAGGGCCATACAAAACCCCTTCTACTGGAAAGGGATGCGGGAGATGGTATTGCAATACGTCCGGGAATGTCGAGTATGTGCTGTTGGAATAATAATTAATATTCTATATATCAGGAAGTATTTCACAATATATAAATATGTTGTTTATCTGTATAATAAAAATACGTAGTTGTTAACCAGGAAATGTTATAGAAAAACAAAGTTGTTTTTGTAAGCACACGTGTGCAACTTTGTGGGTTAATATAAATAGCATTTGATCTAAGGGCTCGGGGTCAGTATTTCTATTCAGTTTATACATATTACTAGTGTATTATTGTTTCACTGTGTTGTATATATTCTATGTATAATATATCTATTATTGTAATAACTTTATTTGTGTTGAATACTTGATTATCATCACTACTCGCACTCTGATACTATATGTATGTATAGTATTACAACAGGTTATGCGCCCAGACACTCAGACATACAGTCAAAGGCACACCGGGACTTCGAGAGTCATGTATTTGAAGAACACAATTTTTTTTGAAGATCACCAAGTAAGTGAATTATAGTAATTAAGCAGCACCTGGCGAAGTGTATATTGGATATACATTTATCAAAGTCGTTCAAGGGTACTATACAAGTACGTGATCTATTGATATGGAAGAATCAATAAAGATTGCCAAGCTATGCAATATTGAAGGTTGGACACTTTGGAAATTTCAGATGAAGGTAATACTAACTTCATATGAGTTGGGTAGTTTAATTACAGGAGAGTATACAAAACCAGTGCTAACAAGCAAAGAAGCTGACGCCCGGAAAAGATATAAAGAGGATCTATTATATTGGCAACGTGCTGACTCCAAATGCCAAAAACTGATAGTAACATCGGTTGACAACGGTCCAATGCAATACCTGATTAACTGTAAAACATCGTATGAAATGTGGACAACATTACTCGCTGTCTATGAGCAGAAAAACGAGGCGAGTATACATTTAATACAACATAAATTTTTCAGTTACGTAAAGGACTCGGTTGACGATATGTCGGTTAGGTTAGGTTAGGTTTGGCCCCTATGTTTTGCGAAAGCAGTTCGGGGGCCGCTATTATTCTTTTGACTGCAAAAAAAAAAAAAAAAGGTTAGGTTAGGTTAGGTTGACTGGTAAAGTCCTATCCCCACCTCCACGCGGTGCCAGTTGGTAACGGCCCTTAATTGGGTTGGCTAACGGGGAAGGCGACTTAGAGCCGGTCCTTACTTTAATTAGTTGGGGTCGGCGAGGCAGGTGGTCCGCCTTTGGACAGAACAAAGGACCACAACCCGGCGGCGGGCATACCGCAAGGGGAAGGAGACCCCACAAAACCATCATGGAAGACACCTTAAACAGTATAGTCCATACCGCACCAGTCGCCATTCGGATGACGGAGACAGGTGACGTCGGCGGGGGTTCCAGTAGCCCGGCCTCCGTTGACGCCGAACAAGGGCGAGCGAAGTGGAGGCCCCACACCCATTTGGATGTACCTTGCGATGCGGCTTGCTTAGCCAATTCGCAAGGGTACATGCCCCTAAGGCTGAGGGGCGGAGCTACTGATGATGAAGATCAATACGAAGACCATCACGAGGAGAAGCTGTGGGAAAGATTCTGCGATTATGTCGCAGAAGTCGATCGTATCCGGCAAATCGCTAAAGAATTAGCGGAATTTGTGGGAGAAAATAAAAACGTCCACCGTCCGATCAAGGATATGGTGGAAAAACTTATTGAACACTCAGAGGAAGCAGACAAGGCGTGGGAAGTTGCCAGGAAGGAGATGTTGGACACGGAGGCAGAGCTGCAGAGGGCTAGGCGTGTGGCGGTCCGTCAGGCGGATGTTTCTATCCGGATGATGGACAGCAGCGCCGTGCTCCCCCAAAGAGGAAGCACCCCTCTGCAAACTCTCGTGACTGAGGGAGGAAGAAAGGGAGAAGTATCGGAAGGGAAAAAGAAGAAGGTGAAGAAAAGAAGAAGAAGAGGAAACCAATCACCATGGAGGAGGAAAAAAATGAACCGAGGAGGGCCAATGCGGACGGCGCACCGAAACCCCCGCCCAGTAATAGGCAGGTGATTAGGCGCGCCGTCGCGGCAAAGGCGGTGGCTCTGGCGGTCAGGCCGGGACCTGGTCAGTCTTACGCATCCATAACGAGAAAACTCCAAGCGAGCGTAGACGTCCAGGCTCTTGGTCTGGACATCAGGGCCATGAGAAGGACGGCCAACGGGGACGTGCGGCTGCAGCTTGCCCGGGGTCCTGACGAGGCTTCGGCTTCGGATAGGCTCCGGACGGCGGTTGTCGCCGTCCTCGGAGAAGAGGAGGCTACGGTGACGACTAACTCCGTCCCAGTGGAGCTTGTCGTCAGCGACCTGGA